AAGTTCATTCTAGGCACGCAGCAGCAAAATGCGCGCCTCGAAAGCTTCAGACAAACGTAAACTCTGCGATATATCGCTCATTAACTGTTGCAATTTGATTGCAACAAACATCGCAGTCCCGCTAGTTTGCCAGTATGGCAGTGAGGCCAGCAGTCTGCAGAACAGCGAAGTTCCCGGCCCAAGTTTGGCGATGCGGCAGCTGAAGTCACTAGGCGTTTCTGCATATTTGCACGCTGCGCTTTACAGAGTGACGCCCCGGCGTCAGCTGCACGAATTCAGTGGTGTTGGGCTGGCTGCTCCGCCGGCTGAAATGCTGCTCCTCACGACAGGAGCCACTGAAGAGCTAACAAAATAGAAAAGTCGCAACTCAGCGACGCTGGGTATTCTTTGGACGTGGGCGGAGGTCCTCTTCTTTCATCTGCAAATAAAAACAACTTCAGTCAGTACAGGGCATACCTACTGCCCATACCAAAGTGGTAATGCACAATGCACGTCCTCGGCATCCAAGCGGAAAAACAAATACGTGAAATTTGGAACATGCAAATCCTTACTGCGTGAATGTAAACGTGATGTCCTTTTGCCATCTCTTGCTGGTCTGGGCCCTGAAGAAACAAAGAGAAGATTGCCCATAAAAACGTTGGTATGAAGAGACCCGCTGGGTCAACTTAGGAGCGAAAGGCCTCCAACACGATAATGGGAAAAAAAGTAAAAATACTGTGACCTCTACCTTATTCCAGTCGTAAGACACGGCGTATGCGAGCGCTGTTGATGTGGGGTCATATTTCAAATCCGCTATCGGCGCGCCCGCAGGTTCAAATGTCTTCAGCCTATAAAAACGTCAAGAAAGCAAGATGTCACGCAAACGCACATCGAGAAATAGATGACATGCTCAAGAAACATGCAGGGAGAGTCTGATGAACTTCTGAGCAAACCCGGACAAGGTACTGCTCTACGCTAGCTGCATGCATACTTCTGCCTCGAATCTTTGTCCCAGCAGACGATAATGCCATCAGATCCCTGAAAATAACAGGTTCAGTCAAGGCGGTGCTATTTAGTGGCTAGTGTCCCTCGGCTTCTACGCCTTTTTGGCTATTTCATCTATAAAAGTAAACCTGCTTTCTCAATAAACTGAGCTCGAGGGACGTACGCCAGTACTAAACGACTTGAGCTTGTTGAAGGAGATCGCATTTACAGAGTATATTTGCAGTACTTGCTGTGGCCCGTCCTGCCGATGACACCGATAGCTAAATTCCATATTTCTGCAGTAATAAACGAGCCCAAACAGACTATCGCGCCTTCCTACTTAGCTCTGCGAGAGATGCAGCAGCCTGCTCATACGCTCAAGCAGCGCTCGCAAAAAGAGCGCAGCGCTAAAAATGGGATTTTTGCCCTTACTTATGCTCTTCTTTGATGTATACAATGCTGCATCTGCCTTCTACGCTTCCAATTGCAGCCCCTGGTGATTGTGAAGCATCGTCAGGGAAGAACGCAATAGATCGCGTTTGCATTTTCTGATATTGAGATCCAGCCTTAGTGAAGACCGGTATAGAAGCAGCAGCTGCAGCGCTCGGCGTTGTGACAGGAAAGGCTATCTGGTTCTGCTGGAAAAGAAGAGGAACATTTAAAATCAAACAGTCATGGAACGTGTCGCAAATCCCCAAGAAACAGTCGTGGAAAGCCGCCTTGCATATCTGCACAGAAAGGGAAACAAAGATCAGCCCATGCAAACCTTAAATAAAAGCCTCGAGGTATCACAGGCAGGCACGCAATTCTGTGGAAAACTCAACGCGAAAAAAATACTACTTGTGTTGACGCGGAGATGCATGGGCGACTTATCTAAGCTTAGCAAGACCAAGCCACTGTGAAGCTGCAGGTTGGTAGCCAAGAACTACCCTGTTTGTCAGTGCGCCCCTCTTACGCACTTTCGCGCCAACATTCTGCTGCCAAACTGGGTTGGGCTGTTTGCCATCCCACATCTTCACAGCTCCGTCCCAACTTGCTGCGTCGTGGAAAAAGGACGCACACACGGAAAACAAAGAAAATATTGCATAATTCACTAAAAGTGGCCAAACCCCCGCAGCACAGACAATTCTTGCTTTGCATGGGCACGGAAAGGCTGCATCAAACTGCATCAGGCAAAAGCAGCCGAAAATAACAGCTACGAAGGCCGCAACACAGAAGATATAAATTGTTCTCCTCATCGACTGCCATAGTGTTGTGGCTTACTGCTGATGACCAACTTGTACATAGGGTTCCATGCCACGAAATTAACAGGAGAATCATGCTGAGCAAAAATTTCAGAGGGAACAACCGTCACAACACTAAACCAAACAGCAACAGATACATGCTGCTTCGATACACGCTATAAGCGCCGTTCAAAGAGGCAAAATGCAGCTGCCGGGAAGCCAAAACAGTTCATCTCACCTGCCCGATGACCTGCCCTGTGGTCCGGCCGCTGATGAGGTCATACGCCTTCACCTGCTTGTCGCATCCCGCTGTAAGCAGCATCTGCGTTGTCTGACGAAAAGTCACAAGTACGCGCCACAAAGTGCAGCAAATAAAGGCTGGCCTGAACAGTGTCCTAAGACGCTCCTGCTTGTGGCATGGGGACTTACATCTCCAAAGCAACAAGAGAGAATAGGTGCCGTTTCTGTGAAGAGCGACTGCGGGTTCCCTTTGTAAACGCTTTGGCCACTGCTGCCGAAGGCCGCCGGCTGAGTTGTTATTTGCCAGACCCGGCAGGTTCGGTCCCACGAAGCGCAGGCCAGTGCCTGCCCATCACGAGACTGAAGCGCACAACAAACTGTCGCCGCAGATGGACATCAAAGCAGCAGCTGAACACAGCGCTGTGGGCCGCTCACGCACCGCGAAGTTGCTCAGCCTACACTGACGCAGAGAGCTAACAACACCTACCCATGCCAGCTGCGACACTGAGTCCGACGGTCCATTGGGAAGTTCAGTTGAATTTTGCTTAGAATAGTAGTTGGCCGATTCCGTAGTGGAACGAGTGAAGCCAAATGACATTTTCCTGCTGCCCAGATTGAGCTTCCAAAAGCTTCAAACGCAGTTCCGAAATCCCGGGGGAGACAAGTACAATATTATGTGCGCTTATTTTCGTCACCTCCCGTCCAATTCAGGCGATCCCGGTGCCTCATTAAACCAGCCTTGCAATCTCGCGCTCGTCATGCAACTCTTGTGCTTGATTTTTGTTGTTCTTTCGCTCTTTGCAACTTGCTGTGGCAGGCAAGGCTAGTGAATGGAGCGCCGACACTCTTCGGCAAGCCCCAAGACGGGACGATTTGGTCACTGGACTTTCGCCCAGGCTGCGCCAATTGGGGGCAGTATCCTTTGGCGGAAAAATTGTGGGGTCCTTTCTTTCCCCTCCAAAGCTGCCTGAAGCGCTCGTGGGGTCTCTGTGAATGATGGCCGCTCTGAATGCACGCTGTAAGCCAATTGCGCTGCAAATGCGGTCGGCGACGGCTACACAAACATAGAGGCTGTCCTTCCTCTTCGCACACTGTTTACTCCTGGAGGCTCAAGAACCCTCTTATGATACACTTCATAGACACTCGTACCTATCCATACAGTTGCTGGCGTCAGGCAGTCCAAAGACGGTGGCTCCTGCGCGCGGGAAGCCACGCCCTGCCTTCTCCAAAGCACAACCCGGAGGTCACAGTTAACTATGAATTGCAACGGGGGAAAGGATGGATAAGGCAATTTAAAACTTATAGACAGGGTGCCGCGCTGCCCTAAACTGACCCGCCATTGAAGGGACTGATTCATTGGGGGGCCCGCTGCTGCATGCGCTTCTCTTCAGCCTCCTCCACAAAGTATCTGATGACGTCCACCAGTTCATCCAACGCGACTTCCTTTGCGCATACACAGCTACATTTATATAGTCTGGCTTTTTGCAGATACTCCACTTGGAGCCAAAGGGCGTGGCTGCATTTCGGCAAGCACTGAAGTCAGCTCCTGTAACCCTGCATTCTCTGCAGGGTCGCAGTGACTGTCGCGAGTATTTGTAGTGAAGCCTTATTATTGAGTGAAAAAGGGTAGAAATGGCTTCGCTCGCGGTGCTGCGGCCTGATGCTGCCCCCTTCGGGGCCGAAAGTCCTTCTAGCATTCTGAAGGTTCAGCCGAATCAAACCACTTCCCTTCATTCGGTGGCAGTGGCAAGTAACGGACGCCGCAGTGTCACCTTCCTTGTAAATTTACCATGGGGGAGCACTTCTGTTGTGTCCCTTCCCCTGGAAGATCTTCCGCTTCTTACTGACGAAGAGGCGAAGTGCGTGTGCTGCACAAGTCCAGAAACAGCTTCAGCAGGTAGACTAGCTTCATCTCCTGTCACTGAGGGCTCAGCTACGGGACTTTTTGTTCCGGGATACTTCATCTTCTCCTTGGCAGCAGCACGCGCTGGATTCCCGGCAGAAGTGGCGGCTGCCAAGCTACGCGTGGTGCTACAGCAGAGGGAGGTACATCCGAATACGTGCCTCCCGCTAGAAAAAGTTGTTGGCACCGAAGCAGCATACAGAATAGCGGCAGACTGGGGCGGTCAGGAGAGATCGGAAGCGAAATCAGAAACAGAACATGGCTCGCCTCTTTGTTCGCTCTGGTTACTCTTGAGACTGCCGGGAGGAAAGGGTGGTTTTGGTGCGTTACTGAAGAAACACCGAAAGAAAAAACGAGCAAATTTCTCGATTGATGCTTGCAGGTAAGTTTTGTGTTAAGCCACGCAAAAGTGGCTGACTGTTTCGTGTCGGGTGCGTGGGCTAGCCTTCACAAGCTTTCACATCTACGGGTTACAGTAGTTTTACCGAGCCCTTGTTCATGAGATATATGCATTAGTTTGCTTGCTTCGCCGATGTTTTTTGTAGAGACTTAACAGGGAGAAGAATTCGACAGGCCCAAGTGGTCACTCGTATTAAAGAATGGATGGAGAAGAAGAGGAAGGAAGATGCGTTGGTTGCCGCACTGACGCACGGAGCACCAGAAAATAAGGAGCCGGTAGGTTACTGCAAAGGCTGTAGAACCCTGGTTAGAGCGCAATTCTCCTCAAACTTTGTCATTGTATCATTGCAGGATGAGCATACATGGCATATGTCAGCGCTGCGCCCTTCCTGCGTGACTTGCCTCCATTTCATTTGCAGGAAACAAAGCCTGCTGTTTCTGTAGACCCCGCTTTTATATCCGAACAGTTAGCCCAGGTTTCCGAGATGCCCTCAGTTGTTGCTCAGGGCCTTAAACAGCAAACAGCATTGCGGTATGGCTACGCGGCTGCCCGAGTCGCTCTGCACTCGCTCTAGACTTTTCATTGTCTTCCGTACCAGTGGTTAGTTGGCTGGTTGAGCTTCCACTTCCCATTACCATGCGTAACATTCGGTATTTATGGGTTTTCTTTTATTTGCTTAGTTTTTGGCATCTTCTTGCTGATGCTGAACGTGCCTGCAGAAGGCAAATGGAAGCGGAGCAGCGCAATCGGGCTGCGACGTCACAGAACCATGCCGTGTTCTCCCAGCTTCGTGATGCTGTAGAGCTCGATAGCGAAGATGACCAGTGGTCCGACACTGATTCAGATGGAGAACCCAGCGAACTAGACAGCAGTGAGACTGGCAAGGGAGGTTCGTCTCCTCATAGTTCTAGTATTGATGCCGATTCAGCGAGTGGCCCAGCCACCGCTACGAACAACCCCCTGAACGAACGGGCAGCGGCTACGAGCAGTGGGAGAGCTTTCCCGAACACGTCAGGAACTGCAAGATATCAGTCAGGCTTTGGTGGCAGCATTAGGGAGAAGAGTGGTATATCCTTGAGTCCCAAGCCTGATGCTCAGGCGACGGCGCTGATGCAGCAGTTGGAGCAGATGCGTCTCAAGAACTCAGCTGCACAGGAGGAAGAACGTCGGCGAAGGGCAGAAGCCGAGGCTGAAGCTGCCCGGGCAGCAGCTGCTGCGGAGAGGGCTGCGCAGGAGGAAGAAAGTCGGCGAAAGGCAGAAGCTGAGGCTGAAGCTGCCCGGATCGCAGCTGCTGCTGAAAGGGTGGTGAGAGAGGCGCAGCAGCTGGACGTGAGCCGCTTCAGCACCGCCGAGGAGCTTTTGAAGGCCGTAGATGCGGATGGTGCGTCTTTTTCACGCTTCCATCCTCCGATGTGCATGTTTGCTTTCTTGATTTTGTGGCAATGCTTTAGTTCAGTGTATTTAGTGCTACCCTCGCCGACGCTCACAATAATCTAAGCTTCCTTGCTGGGCTTTTGCCATGTATGTTGATTCGAGCTGCTCCCGAGTCTAGTCTGAATGTAGCTTATTTCTCTGTGTAAACTTTTTTGCTTTTCCACAGTGGTTAAGGAGAAGCTCCGACAGCTGGGTTGGAAATGCGGTGGGAGGCCTGAGGAGAGGTGAGGCAGCTGCATAACTGTGCTCATACGCTGAACAGTTGAAAACATTGTGGACCGTTTGTACTGGTTGCTTCTTTACCTTCTGGCGGATCGGTGTACAAGGTTATTTTCACGTGGAGCCATTGCCAGCACTCTTGCCGGCTTCCCTTGTGCTTCAGGGCGGCTCGCCTTCTCAAGCTGAAGACAGTTGACCTTGCGAACGTCCCGAAGGCACTGCTTGCAAGACCTCCAGCTCGGATGGCGTAATGGGCGCCCCCGCTTTCTGGATATTTACTGTTTTTCCGTGTGGAGGAGGAATGCCGCCTGGTTATTCCCGGAAGGGTGACGTGACACTGCTCCAGTGCTGTGGTTGGTTTAAATTCTGCACCATCCGCTTCTATTATATTTATTCAGACAGCAGCTGATTTAATGAGTGTAGCGCGATCAGTCGGCTGCTGAACGAATTCTTGTTTCCTTGGCTTTTCATTAGCCCGTGGAGCTTACCACTGTTGTGGAACATGCGGAGACATATTCTCCACAGTAGCTGATGATGCGGCGAAGAGGTGTCGGCAGAACTAGCGGCCTGGACGCAGGCAATTGTACTTACGAGTTTGGCTAGTGTCAGTACCAGTGCTTCAACCGAAGCTGCTCTCATCTGGCCTCCGGTTATTTGAGGGAGGTGGCGGAGTTTGCTACGCAGTGTGCTACAGTTTCTGGCGTATTCTTGGGGCAGGCCACAATTATGGTGCGTGCTGTAACTTCGAAGAAGAAGTAGACACAAAATAACGAACCAATTGATCGACAAAGAAGGCAATGGGAGAACGGGTAGTTAAGCAGGGTTAGGTCTGCCAACGCAGTCACACGAACGAATACGGCGAGGTTACCGCGATCGGCTCGCAAAATTCCGGATAACCGCATTGAAATCGATCAAAATAAGCCTACGATGTCTGCCTGCACAGTGGCCCCTGGCTCGAGTCCGAAGGCTTGCGCCTGTGATGACGGCTCGCAGGACTGTGTTTAGTAACTGTTTTTTCTAATAAATAGTAACTGTTTTTTAATAAATAAGGAGAAGAATCTTATTTAAAAGCGGGCCTTGATCCCTGCCTTGCCCTTTGTTACCGAAATGATAATGCTAGTCCTCGTGAGCGATGAGACCACGTGCTCTGTTCGCAAGCCAGTGGCCACCTTGCGTGCTCGAGGCGAGACGGCACTACGTGTCACCAAGTAGCTTTTAATTCTGCTTGAACAAAAAGGAAATCCAATGTCATAGGGACTTGATCTACCTAAAGTCTCGTGGAGGCCCAGTCACTCGTTTGTGTCTTCATCCGGAAAGTCACGTGAGTCGCGAATGGGTCACTCTCGTCCTACAAAAGGCTGCTTCACACACCCTAAATGAGCCGCAGCACATTGACAGATTTCGAATGTGTGTGATCTTGTATGTTTGCTTAAATGAATGTTTTACTTTCCTCCGGCGACCTTAGCCGACACGGTCATTAGGTCATTCATTGCACGCGATGAGCTCAAGGCGTCTTTGTGAAGTGTATCTAGCTGCGAGCCACATGTTTGAGCAACCGGCCCATCATTTTTTCATGTGAAAGTGCAAGCGTGTGCCTGCAGAGTGAAACTCCAGATCCACCGTCGGCTGGGAAACACTTACGCGGATATTTGTTGTTCTCAGACGGTTTGGTTTATGCGAAGGCGACCAAAACGGCACACTTCTCAACATGCCATCAAATGAACCGTCGCTGCGGCAAGGACGGAGCCCCTCAGGGGCCTCCGTTGCTGCACTCGACTCAGCCAGTTTCTCGTGTCGTTCTGGAACTTTGCCGAGCACACTTGACTATCATGGTAGGAATGCTCTCCACCTTTAGTGTCTGAATTTGCTCACTGCTTGTGACTGTCATAGACAAGTCCTCCGTCTGTTCGGAATCGTGGCTCTCAGTTATTCGTGCAAGCATTGATCGTCTGATGCATAGCTATTAGCGGACTGGCGTTTCACTATTTGACTCGCAACGTTTGCAGTGTCTAGGAACAAATGTGTTCGGTTGTAGTATTCATGACTGTGCGTCCCATGCTATTGTGCTCAGTACAAAGACAATCGTCCCTCATGAGGCAGACGCCCTACGAAAGAAAACTCACCGGCTTCTCTCCAGGAGATACAAAGATCCTTCTTGGTCAGAGTGACTTTCACGAAACTCTCAAGAGGCCAGGTAAGAGGACATGCGTCGGGGGCTTCTTAGGAAAAGTATTTAATCGGCGTATAACTGAGTTTAGGAGGGGAGTGAAATGTGAAAATTTTGCCGTAGCATGAAACTTCCCGGGAAAAATTTTTCTTGAACTCTACGCGTCGTATCGCTTTTTTTGCCTTTGTCGGTTTTTGCCTGCTTCTTTGCCTTTACTGTTGCTTTTAGCTGTTCGAAAGTTCGCATCAATCCGTCAGCCTGCTGCCGAAGCGGAACAGCAGCCGGAGCGCTCTGGCAGTTCAGGGCATGTGAACAAGACGTGGGACAAAATACGTAGCTGGAGTAAAAATACGTTCAGCAGGGGCAAAAGCGGGGAATGCAGCGCCACAGATGGAGAGAAGAGTAGGGCTGGCGGATGCGAGCCAGATCAAAATGGACAAGGATCCGAACAAGGCAGGGGCACTGGCAGGTACGTTTTCTGACTTCCACGCTTCTGGCTATCTGGAGAGCTGTAGAATGTGATAGAGTGTGCGTGTTCCACGTGTAGGCAACGAATCTCGACGCATCTGTACTCACATGCCTATAAGGCACTTCGGAGTCACTGCTTTTTAACTACAGTCTTCACACACATTTTCTCTGTGGTTGATGAACTTACTTTATAGCATACCATAGATAGTGGCGGCGCTCCGCTATTTTACCTCTGTGTTTTCCTTGCTTTTGATTTGAAGGGATGCTTTGGGCTGTAGGAATGACTCAACATGCTTACAGTGCTGTTTTGTGGCTTCAGCAGCACAGATGCTCAAGCTGTCAATTCTTGGAAACAGGATGAGGAAGTGCCTCGTTAGAAGGTTAGTGGGTCTGATGAAAAATTAAATGCAGAGGCTTTCCAGTTTCTGGCATTGCAGGACGTAACCTGCCTTCGTCTATCTTTCACTTTCTAGCTTAATTTGTGTGCCAGTTGCCTTTCTTTGGCGTATCCCCAGCGAAAGCATGAGCTTGATTCTTTTCTTGTAATGGTTGTGCTTCCTCAGTCAAGAGCAACTGACTGACTTCCGTGTTCTACATTGCAAGCGAGCCAAGGCTGCGCATTCCGGCTAGTCGCGCGCCGTGGCCGTTCCAGTGGAGAGTACTGCGCCGCAGCAATACAATAGCTGTGCATGCAAATATTTTTCTCAGCTCGCCTATTCCTCCGTAGTTCACTTCAATCATGCTTCAGATTAATTCTGACGTGGTAGCAGCGGTGCAAGCCGGCTAACGGGACTCAAAACAGTCACCACGAGCACTTACACACTCATTGATTTCTGACAGGCTCATCTACACTGTTGACGTACTTCAAGTAGTTTCCGCGAAGCTCGTGGAACGCGTTTTCAATATTGCAGTTGTTGATATATGTATTATTTGAGCATGAGCACACCAAACTGTCTAAATAGCAGAGGCCAGGCGAAAAATGCGTTTGCCGGTGTGGCACGCACAGTTTGGCAGCTGGCAAATTGCGCGCCTAGCGACCATTGTCAGGCCTGATTGCCTGAAACATTTCTCTCCACAAAACGTTGTGTTATGGAAACAGGACAATACTGCGTTGGGACGATGCGTGTTCATAGTGGTGTGTACCGAAATACACCCTGTGCGGGTAGCCTTGCACAAAAGCTGCACTTTTTGAGGCTTGCTGGGCCGGTTTTCTACCATTAGTATCAAACGCTTGCACGAAAATATGTTTTACCCGTTGCTGCCGTATTTTAGACTTTATTGAGATCATCTCTGAACTGCAGGTGAAGGCTAGTGCTCTGCGGCCCCACTGCAATGAACTGCATTGAAGGATTTGCATTTTAGATTGCAGGAGGCTACTCTGTGTAGAGCTAAGTGCTTCGGTGCGCCTTGAAGTGCAGAGGATACTAGGATAATTTTTTACAGCCACTACATGGAGGTCCAACTGAGTCAACGCGTAGTCTCCAGGCGGGTGGCCTGTGGTACGCAAAGGATATGGCGCGAGTGGCAGGGCTTGAGCCTTGATGAGACTGAGATTAGCTGCAAAATGGTTGTTACTCTCGTAGGTAGTTGTTGAATTATTTTTAGAGTTCATTACCCCTTAACCCTTAAACGCCAACGACCGCCCATGCTGTGGCGAACCGCTGCTCCCCTTGCACGCAACACTTCAGAACGTGCATAAAATCGCAAGTTTAAGCAGAGACAAACGGGACCGTGATAATATTTAATAAGAGTTTTGTGGACATCTAATAATTTCAGTGGAAATAGGGAAGAAGGAGCCAGTGAATCGACCCCCCGCTAGCTAACAAGTATGGAGCCAGCGGCGCGGCGGTGAATCAGTTGGCGACGGTTTCACCCAGCAGCAGCAAAGAATATGGGATAAAGCTCGACGTCACATCTGATCTTTACATGCATGAACTTATGAATAGTAGAGCAACACGACGGGAGTGCTCGCAGAGCTGGACACAAAAGCTACCGAGGAAGTGACCACGAAGTGGTCCATTGTGCCTTTTCTTCGAAACCTCTTGGGGCTTATGGCTTGAGAGAATAATGTTTTTCTCTCTACTTTGTCAAAAGTAATCTTGGGAGAGCTTATTTTAGAAGATCTGTTTCTAAGTGAGCCCAAATGCGCGCAGTTTTTCTCAGCTTGAACGCCCTACAAGAATACCTTGTGTAACTACCTATATATGCAGCTGTTGTGTGTGTCTCAGCGGGCTCGTTCGAGCTTCGTCACGAGCTGGCAGACAAGATACAATGAGAATGCAGCGAAGTGAATCCGTGCAGCAGGGGATTTCCCCCCCGCCTACGTCCAGTGTTGCAGGTCAACCTTCAAGTTTCCCTGCTCCGCCTGGGGGGTTGGCGGCGCCTGTAGAGGCCGAATGTAAGGCTGTTCGAATCTGTATTGTGGAGCTTCCCCCATGTAATTGACTCACCGAAACGCGAACAATGTACTTCTCCAAATGGCGCGCATTTACGCTCCTCTGTGCGTCCAATTAACCCGGCCCACTAACTGTTTGTTTGCCTTATTCAGTGCAAAATCAGATGTCTCTCTCGAAGCAGACACCGTATCAAAGGATGCAATCGGGCTTTTCTCGAGGAGATACAGCAATCCTTCTTGGTCAGAGGGACTTCGCGGCAACACTAAATCGAGGAGGTAGGGTACAGGAGCCTACTATAAATGTAGACGCCTCTATAGCCACGCCACTTGCCACTTGCATGCGTTGGAAGTGGCATAGGACACACGCCATGGCTTCAAAAGCATAGTTACTCAGAGAGTGTCGTTAGCTGATCTTGCCAGATAACGCATTGCCGCTTGCACGGAACACCTTCAGCAACTCCGTAATAGTAGGTCGCATTCTAAACTTTATCAACTGCCCTGTGAGCTTAGGGGCTGCCCGGCTCTGAACAGTTAAGGGAGCTGGCTTTTGGTCTGCTTCGCTCCAGAATACTCGCTGTTCTTCTTCAATGCTAAGCTTGCATGAACCAAGAAGTGGTGATTCAATCCATAGATTCAGCTTACAACTGATTAAATCGTGTGCAGTGATCTTGCATTTATAAGAGGAAGAGTACTTTGATTCCCCTTGCTTCTTCTAAGATCTGTAGCCACTTCTGTTTCCACATCAAACTACGGACTGACAGAGCGTTGTGGACTTTTGTTCAGGTCCTTCAGTCGATACGAGAACCCAGCGGGGACAGTCCGCGGTTTCCCAAATGTTTTTGCCTGCGCCATCATCCGAAGAATGTAATCCTCCTTGGATTTTCCTTTCACCGTGTTAAGACGAAGTAGCACAGCCATTCAGACAACTCGCCTCTAGCTTGATGCTTAGCTTTTTCTGTTTTCTGCTTTGATTTCGCTTTTCGATACAGGCTCGGAATTCCCTGGAGCAGATGGACCCATAGATGACAACCAAGAAGCATTGAGCAAAAGGCATGTTCGTATGCTCTATGTTATATTTTGTGCCCAGAAATTCTTCTGCGAGCTTCTCGGCACCCTATTCCTTGTGACCTCCATTGCACTCGCAGAAAAGGGGAGCCACTCAATTTTTTCACCTTGTTCAGTGTCGGCTGTGGTTTACGTTCTGACATTCTTGTTCGTGCCTATTAGCGGCGCTCATTTTAATCCCGCAGTTTCAACTGCAATGTTTGTGACGTCTAAGCACTTCCGCGCATTTGAATACATCGCATATTTCTTCTGTCAGTTGGTTGGGGGTACTTGTGGAGCCTTAATAGGATGGGCAATCATGGGGGAGCCCCTTGAAGTTCTTCCGCTTGATCCTGGCGCATCTTCAGCTCGTTCAATATTTCATGAGGTTATTCCGACGATCTTGCTCATCTATACCTGCCTCGTTCTCACTTTCGCAACAAGTGCAGGGGATGTTAGCCTTGTCACCATTCCCTTGACAGCAGCGATGGTCGTATTGTTTGGCGGTATTGCTGGGGCAACGATGAACCCTGCCGTAGCAACGGGTATATACATGTCCCACCTAATTTTCGGAAAGCGCCACACCATTACCCGTGAACTTCTCATAGGTCTCCTCTGTCCGTTCCTGGGAGCGTTTCTGTCTGTCATTGGCTTTGTAGTCACCCATGCATACACGCATCCTCTCGAACTTCGGTTTATTCATTTTTCCTGAAGACCGTAAGGAGCCCATGATGCTGTGTGTGTCGACCAATATCTGAAGCTGCTAAATAGGACTCCGTTATTGCAGCTGCGCACAGATTGCTGCAAGCCTTCCATTTAGAAGATGTACAGGCCTGCAGGACGTGGCCTGACCATGCCTCTTCGCCGTTTTTTGGGGAATTGGCAGTAGTACCAGATTGGAGTGGATTTCTGTGCACCCACTTCACTGCCCACCAAATGTGGCAGGAGACCCCGAAAATTAAGCAAGAAACCGATGTAACAACTTTCGGGAAAACATGCATAGCAAGCACACTTGCATCCCTGTATATGCATGTTGCCCCGTTGAGGACGCAGGGGTGTGCATTCAAACTATCGTTCCCCGAAGAAACCCACTAAAGTTCGTGCGTGGCCTACAAGAACAGGGCATGCAGTTCCAGTGCCTCTGTACGCAATCTGCCCACTAGAAACACGAAACAGCTCTCAAATTTAGTTCCAAGGCGTGCAGACGTGGTCTGTCGCAGTATATCCTACAGAACAAAGTGGTTTTGACTTAAGCACCGCCAATTCCTCTGGTGCGCAAGGGTAGCAATAGTGCGTACCTCCAGCTACTGTACTCGACGAGCGTGCTACATGGCATGTATAAGTGAAGCAAGCGCTTGCTTTAACATGCTACAATCCAGTGGCAAGCTGGTCTTGTTTACCAAAAGATTCGCTGTCACCGAGACGCGGTTTCAAATGCCACCGGTTTCGGTCATCTTTCTAGCTAGCCTTTCAAGGAGCTTATTGATCTCAGCTGCGCAGAACCAGCCTGCGCCTCGGAGTCTGGCTATGGATACGCTGCAGCTCACACGTACTCACGCACTGTCCGGTGCCAATTTATCTACATCGATTCACATGAGAAACTTCGTGGAGATCAACACGCAGTTATACTGAGCTACAGTCCTGCCCGTTCACACTCCTTGTTGAAAGCCAAAATCGCTTCCAGACCCTGCTGATCAGATATGCCACTAGGCGATGTATCGGGGTCGTTTTCTGCTTTCGCCATAGACGAAGCTGCGCTTTGCGCCTCGCATGGGGACGGTGTGCCAGTCGAAGACTCATCCCCAACCGCGTCATATTGGTGGAGCTGCTTTCTCCATTTTTGATATGCACGTTGGAACTGAGCTTTGCTGCATCGCAACTTAGCATCTGGGGTCATCGGATCTCCCTCTGATCGGCGCTCCGTCCCCACTTGCTTCAGGAAGTTGCGGTAGCCAGCAGTCGCCTTCCCGATAGCTATATCCTTCATCCTTGCGCACTCACGCCGATGCCATTCTTCTTCATCTTCTTTCTCCTGCTTTTCCTTGCTGCTGTTGGCCATTGCCTGTTGCTTCTGGACCGCCTGTGGATGCAGTAAGCCGGGTAACGGAGCGGCTGTCCCTGGCGGCAGTCCAACCGGCATGAACATGGGGGAAACAAGACCTGGCAACTGCAAGAAGGCCGGGGCTCCCATCTGCAGCAACAGCCCCGTATTTGGTGGACCCTCAACTGTCTTGCGGGTCCCACCAGATCGGCGCCGATCCGTCCCCCTAGCGCTACGCCTTTTCCCCCGTTGCCCATGTGAAACAAATGCAGGGTCGAAACTGGAGCTTTGCTCCGCACAATCTGCAGATCGGCGACCGTAAGTGGACTTGCGTCTCTTGCTCTGAGGAACGCGGTTAGCTGTCCCTTCCTGAGGAGCCGGGGCAGATCCATCTTGCGCGGGAGCCTCCGAGCTTTGAATAACTGCGCTCGTACCTCCGTCAGGTGCTCCTGAAGTCCTCCTATTCCTCTTGGCTGGTGTTAGCGTCGCTGACTTGAGCAATTCACTGGCCACGTTTCCCTCTCGTCTGCCAGGACATGAAATATTCTCACTGCCACTCGCACTGGTCCCCTCGTTTGGAGCGCTCACGAGTAGCCCCCTGAACCCAGGCATCTTTTCAGCGGGCGCGTCCTCATCGGGACTCGCTTTGCTTGAAGCGGGCTTGTCCGAGGGACATGCAGCCGGCACATGGTCTGCACCATGGCAAGCGACAGTTCCGTTTTTGCTTGAATCATCTGCACCCAGAGCTGCGGCCTCCAGGAAATACTGATTCATCCCTGCCTGGCTATTTTCGAACTCCGGGAGAGCAGCAGCCGCGTCTGGTGCATATGACTGGTCTGCTTGCTCTGCTTGTAGCAATAGTGCTGCCTGTGCAGTGCTCCCAGGGAGTGTTTTGCTCCTGCTAAAGGACTCAGTAGACATGTCTGCCCACCGAATCCCCGCGCGGAAGGCCGCCATCTTCAGACCTGGGAACAAGGGTCAAACTCGAAGAGTAAGAATTTCGCACTAGCCGTGCCGCTGTTTCTGTGGAGCGTTATACAAAATGCCAGTGCTTTGTTCATAAGGCACACCTGCAGACTACGCTCAGAAAAGCCGTATGCCGATTCGCCCAATTGCTCTAAATCCAGCAGGAGGCGAGAAAAGGAGAAGACTGAGCTACCTGGGTAACTGACAGTGTACGAAAAAACAAAGCCCACGACGGGCTCAATGCTGCGTCGTATGCCCTGCGGCAACGCAGCGCATCCTTCGACTTTTTAGTAAAGGCTCATATTTCATGGCTACGATTTTCAATAAGACAAGCTGACCAGCGAGCTTGGACGTACGTCTGCTTTGTTAGACAACCCAAGCACCGCTCACGTCTACCCACCCATCCCCAGTGCCAGGTTAAAATTACTCTTCTTCAGCAGCCTCTGGGCCTCCTAACGACTGCCTGGTGCGCTCAACAAGCAGTGTTCGATGCGGCGTGCACCACTTTCCTCCCTACCTTCAAGCCGAGGATGGGCTCTGTTGGCTGTGCGCGGCGAGAAGCGGTCAGTACCCAGCACAAGAATTGACTGAAAAAGAGTAGCCAAGTTCGTCAATTGAAAAGCAATTTCCGAAGCAAAGTGCCCCTTCTAGTCCTGCCAAGCCGGAACGTCGGTTTTGGCAGTCACAGTTGTCTGTTGGTTTCCCAGGGTGGCTCCACATGAGTTTCCAGCACGCCAGACTGAAATGTTAGCTCGGAAGGGGGCTCGAATATAATGCAGGCTTACAAGACAACTCTGCACAGCTGGAGATAAAGGAGCTATACCCTCAATGTTTGCTTAGGGACAGTAGTTGCACCCTAAAAGCAGCGTCAAAGAGCACTGTCAGATTAAGGAAACAAGAGTAGGAGACGCCAGAGCGGGCCGACACCGGGCAGCGCTTCAACAAAGTGAGTGTGAGGAATGTCCTCGTGTCATTTAAATGCTGTTTTCCCACACAGAGTGCACCGGTGCTCTTCAGCATAACGAATGGGTGGGTGTACACCCTCCCCATGCCGGCCTGGCGGGGGCCGAAAGAGAATCCTACATTCTAGATTAAAAATCCCGATTGCTGTGAAATTGGGGGCAATTACTTATCTTTTTACGTCTTCATTGTCCGCCTTTCTTTTCATTTGAGTAGGCTGGGGAGCATTTTCATGGTTATGTCCCCCGAATCCAGTCCCTGAGTGGTGGTGTTGCAGTCGCCCTAGTAGTAAGTTGGTTCCTGCGTGTGCTGCATTAGTGTGCATGCATTCAAAAAAACAAGGAAATATTCTGCTGCTGGGTTACATGAATGCCAGCCCGCTCACTGCCTCCTCCAGTTTTCGCAGCATCGTCGTTCACCTGGTTGCTTTTACTCTACTTGCTCCGCTCTTTTAAGCTGTAAGCACGTTCCACTTAGTATGTTACTCTACTGAGAAATGCATTCATAAAGGCAAAGAAGACGGTTCCAACTATTTATTCTGTTACTGAGCCAAATTTGAAGTAAGGCCATGGGAGTTCGCATCCAGAGGCGCTGAGGAAGTGCGGTGTGAACTGCGAGTATATTTATATATTGTTGTTGCATTTGGCAGCAAGCAAGAGAATTTAACTAGTCGCTTCATGGGGCAACATTAGGTATATTACTGTGTCGTTTGAACTCGCCACTCAAATGAGAAAGACAGTTTTCTGGGCATTTGGGAAAACCAAGCAGCACTGGAGCCAGACAATGCAGCCTTGTTCAGTACCTTGGAGCCAAAGTTCTGGGGGACACTTGTGATGTTACGCATGACGAGTAGGCAATAATCAGTGGCCCCGGGAGGCAATAGACACTGCTACATTCAGCATAGGACACACTTAGGGAGATCTTTGGAGCAGCTCGCACACAAACATAGGCAGCTAAGGTCTACCCCAACGGGGGAAAGAAGGACTGACACTGGAGTAACCAAGCTCTAGCGGTCCAAGCGTACTTGGCAATGATATACTTAAGGTAGCCATGGAATTACATAGGCATTTGCGCGTCTATTTGGGTATCCAGAAACGTCCCTACTAGCTCCCGGTAAAGAGAAGTCTTCTTCGGAGCTTGCGGCGAATTGTCCCCGTCAGGCCCTCAATTCTCAAAATAACCTGATTTGTATATCGCAAATGCCCATTTCCCAAGGTGATGGCATCTGTGTTTCGAGCAGTCAGCTTTGTAACCTCAGGTGATTAGTGCATTGTTCCTGTTTTATCCTAGATTTCAGTGAGGCCTGCGAATTGTACAGTGCTAGGCCTATGGTTCTAAGCTACTGCTCGTGCGACAATAATTTACCCTAGTGCAGCGCCGTCGCCAGAAGCTCAGCACTTCGCCGCATGGCAACTCGCATATTCTTCAGCCTACACACTGAAGGGGAATAGTGCGAATTTTTTAAAGGTACATGCACGAAGCCCAACATGCCAACAGTCCAAATAGACGACTATCTTCCTTCGATTTCCACACTGGTACCAACCAATATCGGCGTTTGCCTTCCTTCTGCAGGGCCAAGCTGCTGCAGGTTTCTGGCCTTGGGCAGTTTTCGTAGCATTGACTCATGTGTTTTAAACGTAGTTTGAGCCCGACCACTCTAGGAGCTTGTTCATCACGCAAACGCGAGCTGGAAATTTCGTCCCCTTATTGTCGCCTTGCAGCAGCCCCATGCAACCTCGCTTAAATGGCCACTGTGGCTATCTACCATCCACGCGTCATTTGTCGTGCAAAAAATGGCCTCCATTTCAGGCTGTTACTTTGCACTAATCTGTGAATGAGCGACGAACTACAACCCCACAGTGACAAATATTATCCAGGTACTCCTCCTGGGATCGGCATCCAGATGCGCCACCTGCGTCTCCTTGCGCCTTTTTCAGATAGTGTAATTTCTCTTAAGTAGAAATAAGATTGTTCATGACATGAAAAAGCGTCGTCTTCTCTGATTCAGATAGCGACGAGGCTCCACAGCCACAGCGACAATAAAAAATATTAGTTCGTGCCTTAGATGGGTGAAGCTCAACCCCTAGGATGCGTCACAAGGAAGCTCTGTCTCTCACTTGTCGTGAGCCAATAGAACATGTTTATATGTGCGCACTAAACCTCGGCTCTGGCGGTGTGCAAGCGTCTGACACTTTCGCTTTCGAGGCGGGGCGAGTCTTAGCGCAGGAAAGAAAAGAAGATTTCTCGTCGTAACGTTCTCAAGAAGCATTTTAAATGTCTTTGTGTGAGCAGAACCTGACGGGAGTATCTCACAGCAAGAGAGCACTGCACAGCGTTGAACCGAAGAGAGAAGAGTGTTCTTTTCCTTTGGAGCCTAGGCGCTGACCCACTGCTCAGCCAGAAGGTATCTTCTCCAGCCTGGCTCTGATCAGGCGCTGTCAGGACGCTAAAGCTGCGGTGGCCGGAACTCTCTAAGGGAGAAGAGGCTGCACCTGAAATGTGGCCACCCCATCTGTACCAATGTGCATTGCAAAGAAGCTTTAAAACTGCTCGAGAAAGGCACACTTATTGCGATGGTGGCATTCCAGATGTAAGTGAGATGTTCCTAATGTAAGAGAGGTAAGAGTGTGCGGTTGTCTAGGCCCTGCAGTCTCAAGCCAAATCCGGGGCTTTCGGCTGGCAACAATGCTTTAGCGAACGGGGGACTCCGTGTATGGTCATGCGGTTCGCTGTTAAGAAGAGAGCCTAGCTTTATTTCGACTCCATTTCAATGGAATTTCACTTGAACAAATGCCTCTTTTCAATTAAACAATTGAATGGAGTGTAAGACGAGAGGTTAAATGTTGTCAATTTCAAGATCAGTGGACGTACGGGGTACCTGACCTATCGCTACATCGGAAGGTAAGGGCTCCTGTAATAATTTACTTGTCACATAGTTTGCAGGCTCAAGACCACGAAGTAAGTGCTCCTGTAACCACTTTTCCGATTGAATGTATGGGGGAAGCATCCGCTCCACCATGCGAGTAATGCGTTCAGTCTGTCCGCTTTGGACTGACAGGTAAAGGATACAGAAAGCTTAATAAGAGAATGTGTTCAGAGCTGTTGTGGAGGAACCGATTGGAAAAGGTCTCGGGAAAAAGATAGGAGCTCCAGGAAAGTCACGGTAGCGGAGAAAAATGTCAGCAAACACGTTGATGACGTAGTGCGTAGCTCTACAATATTGCACCAGTACAACGATATAAGGTTGTAGCATTTACCATTTTACAAGAGAAACATTATTAGGGAGGTTAGAGCTAGAGAAACCTGACTCTTGCAGCAGACTGGGCTTAGGGTGCTCTGCTGGAGGCCATGGGTTGGGACTAGCTGTGGAGCGCAGGCACTACAGTGGTTCCCCAGTGGACTACACTAGCTATCAGCTGGGCAGCGTGCGGGGGCACACGCATACCGACAGTCGCCGAAGGCGTTGGGGAGGCCAGACATAATTCATGTTTATAGGGCCAATTTGGTTTTTCTCGTCCTTACTGGATTGTGCGTTCCTATGTAGCGACAATGAAAACCCAGGCAGGAGTGTGGTGTGGATGGGCTCACTACAGACGGTGTCTGCTAGTGTAGTCGTCTTCGTGGGAATGGAATAAAGCACCTTGCAAGAGAGTCAATGAACATTCTTATGGAGCCATGAATGGAAGCAATGAGAAGCTGGTAGTAACACAGAGACTATCAGTGCCCTACAGCAGTAAAAGGATTAGACTGCCCTGGTGAAGGGCTAGAAGCCCCTAGTCGACACTACGCAATGGAACTGAAACTCTATGTATTCCGTCCTGTAAACAAGCATGGCGGGATGATATTGTTTTAATTTGGAGAACAGAATGCCTGCTTCTTTCTGGTCTGGCCAGTAGTCACAAGATCATTTGGGACATAGGGTAGTATTTAAGTAACTTGAAAAACCGTAGAACATAAGTGTTCTCCGTGCTGTGGAAGAAGACCAAAAGCCAAGGGCATCTAAAAAGAGAGGCACTCAGGCAATGACGAAA